GCTGATTCTCGGGGCTTCGGGCTTTCGGCTTCCTTTGGGCAACCCGAAGATGACATCAGGCTTCCTAGACCCTAAACCTTAAACCCTAAACCCTAAACCCTACACCCTAAACCCTAACCCTGAACCCGAAACCCCAAACCCTAAACCGCTAAGCCCCAAACCCTAAACCCTAAACCCCAAACCCGCATCCTTAGCCCAAGGCTCCCGGCGTTGCCACAAGTCCTGAACTGGCCCTAAACCGCACCCAGACGTGCAATGTGGAAGCCTACCCTAACCTACCAAAACCCCACTTTTTTGCAGGTTCTTATCATAAACCCTAATGTGGAATTTATAGGGGCCCTACACAAAAGTAGGTTTTGGTAGGTTAAGGTAAATAATTACCCATATTATTCCCCAGGGTCCCTGATTATAAGTATACTATCAAGGAGCCCAAAGCCCGAATTCTGATTTTTCAAACCCCTGCATTCGAGCCGGAAATCTTAGGAATGTTCCAGCATCGAGGCTCGAAACCCTCCGAGCACTCATAGGATCCATGTGGGTGGTTGTCAAAATTAGGGTCCCTTTTTGGGTCCTTATTATAATACGGCACCTATTATTTAGGGTACCCCAAACGGGACCATAATTTTGACAACTACCCATGTTTGTTGCCCTGCTGTGGCTACCAGCTTTACTAGTTGCCTCGGCAGACCACGCAGAGGAAGCTTGTGCGACCAACCTGGTGCAGAGGAAAGTCCAAGCACGCTTTGCTGAAGCGGTGTCAGCGAAGAGAAAACTGGGAGGTGGAAAGCCTTGGGACGTCTTCGATTTCGTGGGTGCTGTTCAGCACAAGTCTGGTGTCAGCCTTCTGCACAAGATTTGGTTCTACTTGTTCCAAGGAGTGCTAGGGGCCAAGGATGACTCCATGGGGGTGATCATGACGCCCTGCTACGAGAAATGCCGGAACACCGAGGCGCCGATCCGATGGATGGTTGACACGATGTCGCCCGAACTTGTGGAGCGTCAGAGGGCCCGTGCCAAGGAGAAGGGAAAGGGCCTACGACTGGCCGGGCTCGTTCGGGACCCTGTTTCCATGGCGGTCTCCGCCTACTGCTACCATGCCAGTGGCCAGGAACCTTTCAATGTGGTCTTTCTCCCTCCAGGATGGCCAGAGATTTCCCTGCAAAACATGTCCCCCGAAGAGGGCATCGCTTTTGTTGCAGAGCGCATGCTCCAATACGTCGTTAACATGACCGACTTGTTTGAGGACCCGGCCGATGGCATGGTCTTCCTTCATTTCGAGACTGCAACGTCTTCTTCTGAGTCCTTTGACAAGGCGGTGAAGGAGCTGTTGGATGGCCTCGTCGGCGACATGATCTCCAACGATGAGATGGAGCAGGCGCTGGAGGCCGCCAAGTGGGCAGACCTTCAGCGACACCCCGAAGGTGCTGACGGCCATAGTAGCGACCCAGGGTGCGAGGCCAAGGCCCAAGAAGCATTCCCGTCCGTCCTCCACGAAGACGTTCTGGCGGTGTATCGTTCTTTGCAGAAGCGTCTTGGCTACACGGTCTTGCAGATGTCAGGCTGAACATGCGGACGTGAAAAAAGCAGTTTGTGTTTTGTAGAAGGCGCAGAGCGCGGTTTGTTGCTGCATCTGCGATTTTACGGATGGATTGTGCTTGCGAGATGACAGCCCTGCGGCAGGCGGGGTTTGTATGATTGTTGCTAGTTCTTCCATCCTGTGGTCCCTATGCCTTTTTGCTCTTGGTGTACAGTCAGAGTCGGCTCTAGGCTCTCTAAGCTTCCAAAGCTCAAAGCCGTAAGCTACGACCACGGGCTCGGACCCTTTTTTAACTGGTTCGTGAGATTTCGTAGGTGTATCGCAGAATGGTCAGTGTTTGGATCATTGTCGAACGTGCCCAAACAGGCCCAAACATAAACCCTAATCCCCAAACCTGTAGTTCGCATGCAGAGTGCGCGTTACAGGTGCTCTAGGGGTTTCCCATATCACACAAGACAGGTGCTGAGGGCGTAGGCTTTACGCTAGGTCTAGCGTTTAGAGTTCCGGTTTCGGGTTCATAACGCCTCAAAAATACCAGACACCAGAGACCAGCTACCCAGACTACAAAGCCTAAGTCCTACACCAAAATCCAGGGCACCAGGATCCACTACCCGGGCCCCAAGACCCTGGAACCCAAGGTGCTGCAATATGGGGGTCCCTAGAGAAAGGGTTTAAGGGTCGATCGTACTGTGGAGGTTTCAGGAATACCATTCTACAGTAGTTACTGAGGCTTCTACATTACCGCAACGTTGTCCGAAGCCTGACGCCCCAAATCCACATCGAGTTGGCTCAGGTTCGCCTGGGTCTACCGGCCATGGGAGCGAGAGGCGCTTGGGGTGGGGGTCCTTCAGGGGGTTCAACCCTAAACCCCTAAACCCCTAAATCCCCAAACCCTAAACCCCTGAACCCCCAAACCCCTAAACCCTAAACCCCTACAGTAACCCTAAACCCCTAAAGCCTTGAACCCCAAACCCTAAACACCCTCTTCTTTCGGGTTTTCGTTTAGGAACCTAGTCTAGGTGACCATAAAAGATAGTAAATACTAGGGTTTCCAGATTATGGTAACCATTTTTGACTGCCTTTATAAAAAGCGCGGTTCTTTGGGCAGTCCTGAGTAGATTAGAACACTGCAGAAGACCGATCGGTAGTCCTAAGGGGTTCTACAGGGACACCCGGGTTCACGGCATGAGGGCTCTACGGTTTAGGGCTTTGGGCTTAGGGTGTAGAGGAGGCTGGTCGGGAGTTCGCAGGGATTGAGGGGTTCTACAGCCGTTCTGGTGTCTGTTTGAAATTTTTGGGGGGTTCCAGGGCCCTAAACCCAAAGGCCTCTAAGTTAAACCCTAAGGCCTCTAAGCCCTAAGACCTTGAACCCTAAACCCCAAGTGTTTGGAGCGTGCGCCCGCTTCGGGTGAACCCGGCTTTAGGGAGAAAGGTCCTCCACGCGTGTCAAACACCCTCAGGGCCCAATTTTTGGGTTTGGGGATTTTGGGGCTTTCGGGGTTTAGGGTTCAGGATTTGGGGTAGGCGCATGAGGTGTTTGCCTTTTTGAGGCTTCGAAGCGGTTTGTTGTGTTGCGGCCATCTGTTGAAGTGCTTCCATGAGGGCCGGTTTATAGGGCGTGAGGGTTTGCGGCTTGCGGGTGTATTTCCTGCATCAAACTCGCAGGTTTCATGCTTTGCGCCGGTCTACCTGACCAAGAATGATACGGCTTTCAGCAAGTATTTCGCCCCTAAACTCTAAACCCTAAACCCGGAACCCTAAACCCAAACCTAATCCAACAAAGTCCCAAAGAAAAAGGTGTAGAACTGAGCAACTTGAAAGTACCACCGCAGCGTAGGCATGTAGGTGCCACGAGGTTTGGAGCTCAACCCCACAGCATACCTAACCGGAGTTGTTTAGAAATCAGGAAATTCAGAGCTCAAATCGCGAAGCCCTACGACTTGCGAAGCTAGCAGACACAAAAGGACTGTCGACTGAGCTTTGCAAGGACAGCCTGAATCAACTACACTGGCATGACCGGCTGATCATGTGCACTCCGCACGAGCCCTAAACCCTAAACTCTAAACCCTAAGCCTTAAACCCTGAGCCCGAAGAGCCCGAAGCCTTGAAAAAAATCCTAAGCATGGTGCTACGGAAAGACTCTGCTCCCAACCTGCGCCCCCTTTCCTAAACCCTCAACCCTAATTCCCAGGTTCTGGGCCGTAAACCCTCAACCCCAAACCCTAGGGTTTAGGGTTTAGGGTTTAGGGATTTCCCATGCCCTGGGCCCTAAACCCGAGGCCCTAAACCCTCAACCCTGGGCCCTAAACCCCCTGCACAGGAGCCAGTCAGCCTCGCGGAATGGGAGACCATCCCAGAAGCCATCCAGCATCTCCTTACCAAGGCCCGAGGATTTGAGGTTCAGGGTTTAGGGTATAGGGTTTAGGGTTTAGGGTTTAGGGTTTTGGGTTTAGGATTTCGGATTTCGAGTTTAGGGTTCGGGTTTGGGGTTGAGGGTTGAGGGTTTAGGTGTCTGATTTCAGGTTCGGGTTTAGGGCGTCTGGTTCTGGTTTACAGGCTTCGAATCAGCTCGTCGGATTTTGGAACAAGTCTGCCGATTGCAGAACGCGTCGAATGGATGTATCACAGAACGAGAGAAGTCGTTCTTCTTACGCTAGAAACATGGAGCTCCGGATAAATGATCAGTCAGTAAGACTTACCCCCCCAAACCCCGTTTATAGAGTTGTACTACAGTATACCCTGGAACCTGGTTCACCTTCCTCAAGAAGATGTATCAGTAAGTTCTCTTGGGTCAATTGCCGCTCTCCTCGCATTCGTTTCCGCCTGATCATGCGAAGACGTCTGCCATTCCTCCACTAGCTGGTCTCCTTGCTCATATAAAACTGCTCTCCAACTATTATTGCCAAACCCTGAACCCTAAGCCCTTAAATCCTATTCTTGGGAAGCTTCCCCTAAAGTGCGAGGCTCCAAGCTATGCACAGCATGCCAGACTGTTAGGGTTCAGGGTCCAGGGATTCGTCAGCATAGTCCCTCTTCCGCGCCGTCCTCGCTGTCTTATTTCGAGTTCAAGAGCTCTTGTCCTTCCGAGAACCCCGACCCCGCACCCCTCTTCGCGTGAAGAAGTCCTGGTGTCTGATCTTTGTTTACCCTCACTAGCTCTTGTTTCCAAATTTTCATGTGTCTGGTGCCAAAGCTTTTGACAAGGGTTATCAGCCACAATAAGCAACGATTCTTTACATGTGTTTATGTTGTTGCTATCCTAGGCTACCTGGCTACCTATGTCTCAGACTGTCGTTCTCCTCGCATGGATGGGAGTGTTCTGCGTGTTTATGTTGTTGCTATCCTAGGCTACCTGGTTACCTATGTCTCAGGCTGTCATACTCCTCGTGTGGTTGTTGTGGCTGGGAATGTTCTGCGGGCCGTTGGTGTTTTTCCTTACAGCATCACTGCCTGCTCCTGCTCTGATTGTCGTCTATGCCATGCATCAGGATTGCTACAAGCCTTCCCTCTTACTGCGATACCTGTTGTGAATGTCATCAAGCACAGTGATGGGCCTCGTTATTGCTCTCTGGTATGGCCGTGGTTGTGATGTAGAAGACCCTGCGGGTCCAGCTGCTTTGGGCGTCGCTGTAGATCATGGTTGTTAGCTTTATGAGCACCGTCCCGACAATTCGTACTGCTGACCCGACCTGTACGGAACGAGTATCGGTGTCGTTGTTCTTGCCGTTGCCATGCCCGTATGTTTGTGTGCAGTTGTAAGGTTTGTGGTCTTCATCTCCAAACAAAAATCAAAACCAAAACCCAAAACACTTGTTCCACCTGTCCCACCAGCATATGGGCAAATTAGAAAGAATTCCGGCCGTCCCGAACCGAAACGGGGGGGAAACCCCTAATCCCCCAACACAGTCCTTAACCCTCAACGCTCTAAACTTCCTAGACCCACTAGACCCCCTAAAGCCTTTAAGCCCTAAGTTCTAAACCCGTAAAGCCCTAAACCCTAAACCCTGTAAGCCCTTAAGCCCAAAGCCCCAACCCAGCAGGCCCGGGTGAGCTTCAGCATACGCTCGGTGACGGCAGCCCAGGAGGAGATGGAAAGGGAAGCCGATTCGCCAAAACGGCTGAGGGCTTAGGGCAGGGTTAAGGGTTTAGCGCGGAGGCACTTCAGAGAGACCTCATTCAAAAAGGGTTTAGGGGGGATGTGGTTTAAGGGTTAGGTTTCCTGGGCGTGAGGGTTTGGGGTTTAGGGGCCGAGTGTGGGTTAAGGCCTTTGGCCCTAAACCTTAGTCAGACCCTAAACAATAAAACCCTAAACCCTAGAGATTTATTTTTAGAGCTCGTGCCTGGGAGTTCAGGCCTCCAGGTGGCTTTTTGTGGAGCTCCGCTTGGGCGGTCTGGGTCTAAGGAAGCTTCTTCTAGGACATTTTCAGGCAAAGGCAAGTTTTGCCTCCTCCAGAAGTCGTGGGCAAACTTTATCATAGGTTTTGGGGATCATTCTAGGGTTTGTCACATTTTGGACTTGTTCTGGGCTGCTGCTCAAGCTTTTATTTGGCCTAAAGCGCTGCAGCATGTTGCATTTTCGCACCCGCCCCCCTTCCCCATGCGCACAAAATGTAGATGCCTAAAACCTAGGGCATGCAAATTGACATTGCCCGGATTGAAGCTTTGTCTCTTGCCAGTTTCATAGTGGTACATGCCGAATTAGGAATTAGGAGGAGGCGGCCTTTGCGAACATGGCGAGGGTCGCTCTCTTTCTGGTGCTCCGCCTGGCTGCCGCTGCAGATCACTGGTTTGAGCTGGGCGAGAGGGAGGATGATCAGGGGCTTTCCTTGCCACTGGGCTGCCACAGATTGCTCGAGTTTGTGGTTTAGGGTTTAGGGTTTAGGGTTTAGGGTTTAGGGATGGAAAGTGGAGCAACAGAGGGCAGCGTTTGATAGCAGTAGCCATACATGAGACTAGCAAGCGCGGTGAGCCAATGACGGTTTTTCGTTTGTGCCATGAGCCTGTATAAGGGTTAAGAAATGGAAAAGAGTCTCGGGGTATTTAAACTACAATAAACTACAGATACGAGTTATGAGATATTAATGAACCCAACGTCCTGATGAAAAATGCTTCTTGATTGTTTAGGCTTCCATCCGAGGTTGCAGTCTCGGAGCAGGCAGCTGCCTTCGCCGACATTGGACTGGGAGATTGCCGACGAACCGCCCAGCACAAATGTGTGCAACGGTACCAGATACAATCAGTCCGAGGAGAATTGCTGCGGAGGGTTGCTATACAACTTGACCACGGAGGGCTGTTGTGCAAACAAGACAGTCTATGCCTTTGATCTTCGTGGCTGCTGCAACAATAAGCATGTCTATGTCTACGGAGAGGAGCCATGCGTCAGTGTGCAACCGAGTGAGCTGGTTGCAGACTTCGACTGCACGGCAGACTGGCCGCCGACCTCCTACAGTGACTACTGGCGACTCTACTGCTCTGCAGAGAACCACAAGGTCTGGGCGATGACGAAATCCTGCAAGGTGGGGTGGGTCTCGGTCCAGCAAGCTAGCCTGGAGCAAGCTGAGGCACAGGCCTTGGAGACTTGCAACAAGAGGGCCGGAATTTTCGACAAAGAGACATGCACCGTCTTCGACAGGGATGGCTCCGAGTGTAGGAGGCAGCGTTGCGGGGATGAAATCTACGACGCATCTGTCAAGGCATGCTGTGGTGGAAGCATCATCGATCGTGTCACAGAGGGCTGCTGTGGTGATGTTGTATACAACACACAAACGGAGGGATGCTGTAAAGGACAGGCCTATCCCAAAGACTCTTACAGTTGCTGTGGCGAGCAAGTCCTTTACGACTCAAGGCTGGATGGCTGCTGCTTGGAAGATGGTCCGGAGGTGTACCGTTTGGGCAAGCAGAACTGCTGCCGGCATCCGAAGGGTGTATGCTCAATCCGACCTGGCCAGTACTCGTGCTGCCTTTGAGCTTGTGCGGGAGGAGCCGAGTGCATACAGGGTAGCAGTTCACTTGGCAGCTTGGCACCCTAGGCAAATTTTCACATACAGTTGTGCATGCAGATGTCAGAAGTGCCTCCACGGCGCACGCAGAAAAAACATGCACTGTGCTGCAAAGTGTAGGCAACACCACTCGACAATACTCGACACAAACATAAATGAGTTCGGGGCCAGGTCCGCATGCACATGCGTCCCAAAGTTCGAAACCCCAAACTCGTTGCTTCGTAACCCCAAACCGTGATGTCAGACACAACCGCGATCGAAAGCATCAGAGCAAGAACCAGGGAACATGCGCGTGGTTTGCGATTGATACAGTGGACTTTATACTTGTTACAGGGTTTCATAGCGTCTCGTGATTTCTGGCGCGGCTTTATAGGACTTCATGGGGTTCTGCAACGCTTCTATCCCTTCTGTGGGGCTGTCTTTGCTGTTTCCCCGTCAATGATTGCACTGTGAAGGATTTGGTGCTGCGAGCATCGAAAACGGGACCCCATCTTACTATGGAAGGCTGAATTACAGGATCCTTTTGCAGGGACTCTCGGCAGACGTTGTTTCCTTCTACCTCAGACAACCCTAGGATCAGGAATTAAATTATCGTTCTCCTTCGTCGCGGGCATTCCGGCTCCAGCTGGCTCGGGGGGATGTACCTCAGACTTTTGGGGCGCGGGGAGACTGTCTGTGTGCCCGGCACTTAAAACAGCGAGCCTGGAACCCTCGGTTCGGGAATGGGGATTCGCGGTTTCAATTTTTTTAGGCGCTCTTAGAGTTAGTTTGTATTTTTTTGAGCCTAAGAGTTTGGAGTTTGGGTTTAGGGTTTGGGGTTTATTTGATGAAGCTCTCAGGCGAAATCCAAGTTTGGGGCTTAGGGGGCGTGGAGTTGGTGGTGGTAAGATACAGTAACACGAAGTTCAACACCCGGATTGTATCCTTCGGCCCTATGCCTGGATGAGGTTTAGGGTTCAGAATTTCAGGTTTAGGTTTTGGGTCTTAGGATAGCAGCGCAAGTGACCCAAACACATCCTTCTCAGTCTTAGTGCTTTCTGTCAAACCAGACCTGCTTCATGTAGACCCCTTCTGAAGAAAAACACCCTGCCTTTATAGGCCCACACAAGGTCTACATGAAAGGCCAGGGCCTGAAGTATTGGCTTTCAAGATTTCGGATCACAGGGTTGTGCCCGGCCCGCGGGTGATCCTGGTTTCAGATTTCAGGGACTTAAGGCATGTTTCTGCCCATGTTTTCCTTCTTGTTGTTATGCTTATACCCACATGAATACCAGTATAGTTGCTCGAGTTCTCAATGCCCCTAACCGCAAGTGGTCAGAGCTTGCGCGTTGCTGCAGCTCAGGGTGTGCATCCCATGCATGCGCGGAACTCAGCGGCCTCGTTGTGGGTTCAGGCATTGCAGATGAAGGGTGGGAAGTTCGTGAGAGTGGCCTTTGCATGTACCGCAAGGGTGGATCCTTATGTTTTCGGCTCGTCTGCAGGAGATTCAGTGAGTCAGCGTGAATCGCGAAGAGCAGTAAGAAATCTCATGTGAACTTTGTCCTTGTAAGCTGAACCCTAAATCCTAAACCCTAATCCCTCAGCCCTAAACCCTAAAACCTAAACCCTAAACGGAGTCGAATTCCGCTTCATCCGGGTGCATCGAGGTAGGCTCAGGGGTTCGGGAATCGCGGTGTAGGTTCACTTGGGTTTGGGGTTTAGGATGTAGGGTCTAGGGTTTGGGATGCAGGCTTTAGGGTTTAGGATGTAGGGTTTACGGCTTAGGGTTTAG